AAAATCCATGGATAAGTTTTCAGGTAAAAAGACTTTGAGGCAACAGATCCTGGTTTCAGGATCTGAGAGCCAATGAAGCATCAGCAACTCATTAGCCATGCGACTTCGGGCAAGTCGGTCTGGGTCCTATCTCTTGTGACCTCTCCAAGCCTCAATTTCCCACCTGTAAAATGGAGATAACGGTTTGTATAAATAACTCATCATAAGCACTCAACATGTTAACGGCTGTCATAACTGCTGGGATTACCAATGGTATACCTGCCTTAACAAGGCTATATAATAAGTCCTCCTTGGTTTTGACTTGAGATTGTAACATGCTTTATAGCAACCACACCCAATTCCTTTGAGACCCCTTGCCTCTGTGTATGCCATGCCACTCCCTGGAATACCGCCTCCCCCTTTCTACCCAGCAAACTTCTATTTCTCCATCAAGATCCCTCTCAGGGGTAGCCCCCACTCCCACTCCCCTCTTGGTGAGTCGATTGACTCATCCAGTCAATCGACAGGGCCTATGAGTTACACCTCTCTTGAGTGGCAGTCACAGAAAACCCACTGGGCGTCAGTGAGGAGAAAAGGGGGTGCTATATTAGGATGCTTGAGTGACTCAGAGAACCCAAGGGCCTCGGAAACCACCTGGAGACGAGGAAGGGAGAGCTGCAGGGAGTTTCTTCTTTCTCTTGGTGCCTTAGCTTCCACTTTTTCTCCTGCTGCAAACTGGCTTTCTGCTTCCCACCCACATGATAGACCGCAGCTGTCATCCACACTCCAAAGCTTATGTCTCCTCTATTCAAGAGAGCAGCCCGGTGGAACGGAAATCTCTTAAGTCCCAAGTCCAAATGCTTGACCTCTTTCTCCTATAGTCTATTGAAATTGCTTTTGGCAAAATGTCACTGCTAATTGCCTAACAGTCCAATCTAGAGGATGCTTTTTCTTTCTTAGTTGATGCTCTGGAGCATTCGACCCACTGACCACCAGTGCCTTGAAACATTCTTCTGCTTCGGCACCCGTGGCCCCGTGCTTTCCTGGCTTCCTCCAGCCCCTCGGACGTTCCTTCTTAGTCTACTTGTGGGACTCTTCTTCACTCAGCCTGGAAGTGTTGGTGTTTCCCAATGCTCAGGCCTCACCCCTTCTCCACGCACTGTAAACTCTCATGCACCCCTGGCTCTGCCATACCCTCTCTGGGTTTCTCTCAGCTTTCCGGCTGCAGAAAGACCTTTCTTCCCACCAC